TAAGACCTGGACAGATTACCTGCTTAAATAAGGAATATTACCCATGGATGTGTGTGTGTGTAGTAATTGTGAAAAAGAGGTAGGTAGAAAACTCATTTTTTTTTACTTTTGTTCTTGTTTGTCTTTCACATTTTGTGCTTATAAGCTTAATATGCTTTCAAACATTTTAACCGAGTGTGTTTTTCTTCAGCTTCTGTAATAATCCTAACTAACAGCTGGAGTCCCTGGGGTGAGATTTCAAGTGCCAGCATAGGAGACAGAGCAACCATGTAATGCCAAGGGCTCCTACTAGCCCCAGGCATCCTTGAAGTGCCAACACCTGAAGCTCTCTTGGAGAAACAAAGAGATTTATTGAACTCTCAGGTGCAATCAGTCACCTTCTGGAAGTATTCATCCCACCTGCTGACAGGGTAAGGACCGTCTGGAACCAGGATCCTAATTTTTGTTCGTCTATGAAGTGCTTGAAGTTGGGATGTTTGAAGGGCACTGCTGCCATTGTGTAACACAGAACCCCTCTGATATCTCTGGGACAGACCTTACAACAAATTCTGAGCCGTATCTTTGAAACTTTACCCAGTATTACATATCTTAAGACCTTTTTTTTTTTTTTTCATTTTATTATTTTTAAACAAGTGACAGGCTTTGAAAAGATCCTCCTCTGGAATTCCCAGCCATGATTGTACAGGGAATTGCTGTGGTATTCCCTAAGAGACAACTCCCATGCAACAGAGCATCATGTGAAAGACTGCCGTATTCCTGCAGAGAATTTGACTTTTCTAACAGGATCATGAGCTCCTACAAATCACAAGACCAATAAACTCATTAAATGCCAGTTCATTAAGTCTTAAACGGAAAAAACAGGTTGTCTAAAGAGCAGAGCCCAACACAACCAGGTTGTTTAAAGAGCAGAGCCCAGCACAACCATACACGTTTCTGCCTCCACTGGGAAGGGAACCTCTCATTTAGGCTACAGATACTCAAACAAACATAGCAGAAGCAGAACTGGTGAATGTGTCTTTATACACAGTTTCTCATATTAAAAAATGAAAGGGACTGAAATATAGATGGTCGTACTTGAACGTAGCCCAGCACTGGAAAGGACAGCCACAGATAAGGACTAATACAGCAACTTCTCTTCAGTGCAGAATATAAACCCTTGAAAAGCTGAGATATATTATCACAGTAAACAGAATTAGTTTCTCTTCTCATCTCCTAATGAATGGGGGCTTGAAAACAATCCATTCAGGATCTGGCTCTCTGATCCATGAGATGCTGCCTACACTTCCACCTCGCCTCACCCCATAATGCAATTGAATTTCAATGCTTGTATACAAGGGACATCACTTACACCTTTCTCTTTTCATCTCTCCCTTTTTATTTAGTCTTTAAAAAGACTTTTCTAAAAGTCTTTAAAGGCCACTGAGAATATGTTCACCAGCTAACGAAACACTGCAAGAAGCATCTTTTCATTTGAAACCTTAAGCTTAGCAATATTACAGATGCATCCACAAGAATTTCCAAGTATTAGTTGAAGAAATGCAACTGATTGAATTATTTCAGACAGTTGGAACACCTGCATTGCAGTTACATTTAAAATTCAGTTCATACACTAAGCCAACTTTGTGACTCATGAATTTCATTGTTTCTCAAGTACATTTGGAACCAGACGAAGGAACCTCGGTTTAGGATCCTATCTCTTCACTAATTTTATGATGACTTTTGTTGATATTTCCAGTTTAAAAAACAACAACAACAAACACACGGAACAAACAAATAAAAACAAAAAAACATGCCTACTGCTATCACAACTGAATGAAATGAGAAATACAGTGAAGTGGCATGAAGGGGGGTGCTATAAGAATGAAGGGGACAGACGGTAGCAGTGACAGCACAAGGGGAAATGGTTTCAAACTAAAAGATTTAGAGTGGATATAAGGAAGAAGCTGTTTTCAATAAGGTGGTGAGGCACTGCACAGGTTGCACAGAGAGGTGATGCCCCATCACTGGAGACACTCAAGGTCAGAGGATGGGGCTGTGAGCACTGACGGAGCTCTGGGTGTCCTGTGCACTGCAGGGGAGTTGGACCCTGAAAGGTCCCTTCCAACTCAAACAATTCTATGATTCCATGAATTCAGAATGAAAATAAATTAGGTGAAGAAAACGGGTGTACAAACGAAAGACAGAACATAGAAAATGATGTGGCTGCAGTGCAATTTTGCACTGAAAATAAGCAGCCCAGCTAACAGCAACAACAGAAGGACTAAAAACATCTAAAATATCAAAAGGATTTTAGTTAGGAAAACATTTTAAATGGGAAAAAAAGTAGATTTCAGAATTTGCTCTGAAGGAGTTTACAGGCCTAGCAGCTCCCACTCTTCCAGATCTTGCTTTAAGTCCCAGGCAGTAAACAGAAGGAGGAATACGTTTGTAGTAAGCAAATATAAAAGTTTGTTAAACACACCAGAAACCACTCTGGTCTCTGATAATTGGAATTGTCCATGTCTACATATGGCCATATCTAAATTTTTATTCATATAGTATTTTCTTGGGGTTTGATCTGGGCCTAGAACTGGGGGCACCTAGAATGTTCCATCAAGACACTTTTTGCCTTTATTTTTTTTTCACCTTCTCATGATTGTGGACCTTAGTTCAGGTGGACAATCGATTGTTGAAAGCAAAAACTGCACATTCAAGCCATTGCACAGATTCAAGAGCTCATGGGATGGAAATAACCCACAGACAAAAAAAAAAACAGCTCTCCTTGAAAGTAAATGGAGATCTCTTGAACAGTACCAGGTGTGGTTAGAGAAAAACAAGGCAAAAGAAGACTTTTTAAGGAACCCTTTGGAGGATGAGATGACAATCAAACTGACTCAAACTTTTCACTCACATTGATTTGGTAGAAAATCTCTGTATCTGCATGATAGAATGGTATAAATTTAAGGACATGCCCAGCATATCAGCAATGGTTCAAAGAGAAAAACAAGACTCAACAGAGGGAAAACGTTACCCTAAGCATGATAGAAATTCTCAGCAAGGGAAGAACCATACATAACATTGTGCCATTCCTGAGCTCTTGTCCTTGAAAACAAACTGTAGAAGAATGTATGCTACACACAAATTATGGTAGAACATCTGCCATGGGAATAAGTCCCTTCACTGACCAAAGAACTGTGTATGCACATACACAAGTTCACTCTGGAATCACTAATTTTATTACCTGGCTTCTTACAGATTATGAGAAAGTCCTGCAGTCATAAAAAACACTGAAGTAACCTCACGTACAAAATCATACTTACTCTTCCCAACTCTGGTTTGCTTCACAGAATTTCATTAGGGAGCTGTTCAGTCCAGAAGCTGGAGCAGATCGCTAATTATCCAGCTCAGCGATCACAGTTATGTCCTGAAATGCTAAGAATTGGAAGCTTGCTGTCCTTATACATTCAGCAGGAAGGTCATCCATCTTCTAAAAGCTCAAGAAATACATTCAGCTGCATTTATTTTCCTTAATTAAAAATAGTTCACTTCTAAATAAGAAGATACCTGTTGTCTGTCTCAAGCTGGATGCCAATAATCTTCAAATGCCGAAGATCACTGGCCATTAAAAAAAATCCTTTTGCCTTTCAACTCACATGATCACAAAAATAAGTTTGTTCCAGTCTGAAAAATGTGATTTCTTACCCAGAAATACAGAAGCGCTACCAATCTGCTCTCCAATTTCACCTAACATGGGATGCATCTCATTGACATTTATTGCTGAGTCAACACTGAGGTCATCCTAGGCTTAGCAGTAAGGTGGGAGCTCCTAAGGGACTGCTGTAAATAATGCCATCTACCTGCCCAGGGAAGTTAAGTAACAGAATAGTCAACATTTGAGGGGAAGAAAAAAAAATAATCACATATCAGGAATTTATAAAGTGAGGTGCTAAATTATTTAGATGAACATTCTCATTCTGAATAATATATCTGAATAACGCTACACTTCAGATTTGTAGTCAATTAAAATGGCCTCTAAATAAGACCCAAGAGGAAAGAATGTGCATTCGTGTGTGACAAAATCAAGAGGAGTGCTATATGCTGACTCTTTCACATTGCAAAAGTTACACAGTCAATATGCACGAGCAAGAAACCGTAAATACTGTTAAAAGATACTCTGGTCACATCACAATTTAAGAATTTAAGCAATTCTTACTTAAAAACAAAACCAAAGTTTATGTCAATAATGTTTTAAGACATTATACTTGCATAGCAAAGAATATTAGGCGTTTGCAAAGCGTTTGTATGGAAGCAACAGAAACCTTTTAATAAGAATCAGATAGAGCATTTACATAGTAGTGCTGTTTCTCACAGCATTCCTTTGTGAAATGCTTCCTGAGACGTAATGAAAAGTACAGTTACGATCAATGATCCAGCTAAGAGCTGAGCTGAAATGCAAAATGGATTTATTATACAGGTCGTATACCATTGGCTATGGTTGCAAAGTGAAAAAAAACATGCTTTATTCAACGTTCTTACAGTTTTTATAGGAGGCTAGATAGAGCCATAATGCAGATGGGGGCAGTGGGCAAGCATATACTAATGTGATCAATCCCCTGACATGTGTCAGGACTGAGCAATTCAAAGGATAGCACATTATTTGGTAACTAAAGATTCATGTCACAAATAAATCCCTGTCCTGCTCATAAAAAGCCCTACATCTTCATCAAAGTGACTAACGAGTTGGAGTGCCACTATCTTTAAGGCCCACTTGCATGTTCTCTGAACATTGACCACTTCAAAATGGAGGCAACCAAAAGCATCAGCTGATACCTCAAGGCTTAGGCTTCGCAGTCCAATTGCATCTACAAAGGAAGCTAGAGAATGCTTAACAGAATCTATACAGCCACAGAGAAACAAAACCAGAGCTAGTGTCAATGGCAGAACCTTCACTGTTAGCAAGTGCTACTCTTGGGAACACACATTTAAATAATGGCAGTGTAAATAAGAACAACAATCCTTACCATGGGAAGCAATATAAGAGTGAAGAAGCAGCTCTTCCAACAGATGGCCATCTTTGTCTCTTGACTTTGGTCTTTAGTCAAGCTTAGCTTCTGACACAGTTACTTAGGGCTGAAGCACACACTCTCTGCAGATCTTCTTGTCAGTGTCTTCACGTCAAGACTCAAATCTCTGCAGTGAAAGAGGAAAATGATTATAAATACGACAGACATGGAAGAGTACAAGAAAGAAACGGAAAGAAAGCAGAGATTGTGTTGAACTAAGCTACATATATCAGAGGTCAGTCATAATTGTCTGGATTGCAGTTATTAAAGATCAGCTCGGATATTAAATTTGAAGCCAAAGAACATGGCTGTATGATCAGTAGCTTGCATCATAGAAAGTGCTGGAAGAGATTCTCTAACAGCAGCTCTGTTGTATCTATAGGGAAGGAATAATGGAACATTTTGAACTGGTCAAAGGGTCTGTATGCTTCATTTCTGCAGTAATGATTTCACAGAATCACAGAATGCCTTGGGTTGGAAGGGACCTCAAGGATCACGAAGCTCCAACCCCATTGCTACATGCAGGGCCACCAACCTCCACATTTCACAGCAGCCCAGGCTGCCCAGGGCCCCATCCAACCTGGCCTTGAACACCTCCAGGGATGGACGGGGCATCCACAGCCTCTCTGGGCAGCTGTTCCAGCACCTCACCACTCTTCTGTAAAGAACTTGATCTTAATTTCAGTAATGGCTCAAAATCATGACTGAGGGTTTCTTAAGAGGCTGTACAACTTAGTGATTTCTTCTCAAAGATCACTGGTCCAGATAACAAAATTTATGGCAAGAGCTGTTAAGAGTCTGAGAGCTTTTTGAACATGCAGTAAGAGGAATGGGAAGGAATGAATTGTGCTCTCAGGCTTAGAGGTCTCAACTTGGTGCCCTACCTACCATCATGTTTTAAAATGAATTTGCTCATTACCTGAGACGGATCCCCTTCATTTTAACTCTACCTTCTAGACCTCGTTGAGATGAACTCACTTTGAGGTCCTTTGCCTATGAAGATTAGACACAATCTGTTTTCTTAGGAAGGTATGGGAGTTTAGCTCTTGGGCATGAGCTGTGCCACACCAGTTTGTCTCAGGGACAGAGAACTATTCTTATCTCTTTTGTTTACACCTGTAAATCACAGAATCACAGAATGGCCAGGGTTGGAAGGGACCTCAAGGATCACGAAGCTCCAACCCCCCACCAATGCAGGGCCACCAACCTCCACATTTCATACCACCCAGGCTGCCCAGGGCCCCATCCAACCTGGCCTTGAACACCTGCAGGGATGGACGGGGCATCCACAGCCTCTCTGGGCAGCTGTTCCAGCACCTCACCACTTTCTCTGTAAAGAATTTCCCCCTCACATCCAACCTAAGTCTCCCCTCTCTCAACTTAAAACCATTTCCCCTTGTCCTACAGTTAAATGAAAACTTTGAATGCAAGGTGCTTTTCAAACTCTTATTGTGTGATGCAGGTTTTCTATACACCACCGTTCATCACCTATGGAGGCATAAACATGACTGACATCTTCCTAACGAGAGAAATGTTTATAGAGGTAAGTAAATGTTTGAGAATGGAGAAAAAAGGAAAAAAAAAGTCATAGGTACAGGACATGTAAACAACTACAGAAACAATAAAGCACTTAAAAATCAGAATGTGAAAAAAAGAGAAAAGGCTGAAAAGAAAACAGACCGAAGACAGAAAGTAAATAAAATGCCAAAGGCAAATGTGAAAGAACGTTTGCAGTCAGTGGGTACTCCGTGTTTATATTAATTGCAACATACAGCCAAGATATCAGCATTTAGAAAGTAGAGTCTTTCAATTAAAAAACAGAATAGAAAATTAAGTTCTCTTTAGATTTTTGTCTTCTCCATCCAGACTCTGACTAAATGGAGAACAATGATTCATAAAATTCTCTCTGATCTGCCTTCTTCCATCCTCACTCCATCAGTCACTCTCAGCCTGCTCTGGTACTGAATTTAATTACTTAACTGCATTTCTGATGGTTTATCAAATAATGAAGGACTGATAAAATCTCAGCCGAGGAGGAGAATACATCCATGGTGACATTCAGCAGTGAAAAGATGGAAAAAGAAAGTCACTGCATTAACAGAAGCAACAGACAACCAGGCAGACACATTAGCAGACATTTGGATTTGAAATTATTTCTTGATAATTTGCAGCTCCTGCCAGAGAGGCCAGAGAATGATTGAGTTTTGTCCTCGGATTCTGCCACTGTAATGAGTCAAAAACAAGACTTAAATGCAAAGGAAGAGTGGGAGATGGTTGACTAAATGGATGGAAGGATAACCTGTGGTGAAGTGGTAACCTTTGGAATACACTCCTTCCAATGGTTGAAGATCCAGCTGGCATTCACTAGGTTTGAAGAATGGATAAAGGCTGTCTTCTATTTTCTGTTTGTTAGCTTCAAAGAAATTTCTAAAGATGTGAGAACATCTGCTAACCATTTTGCTGTGTTTCTTTGACATTTTGCAGAGAAAAAGAATCAGCTTCATTTTTTTTGCCTTCAAGGTAGTCATGGAAACCCACATCAAGAACTGGACCGAGGTCTCTGTGTCACCCACAGAAGCTCAAGCATTTTTTTAGGTAATACCAACCACCAGGCCTATGAACCTGTGCCCTGGACCTGCAGAGAAATCTGTATATAATGTGTAGCAGCTCCTGTTTTGTACACCACACATAGGTGCAGAGTCAACCTATTAGCAACAGAAGGATAATTAACTCACAGATAAGTACATTCAGCCAATCATTACGAGAAAAACTTTTCAGAAGTAGGGACAACATCTACGAAAGCATTTCCATCTCCATTCAGTACCGTGAGAATAAATAAAAATATGAATACAAGGCCTGAAAGGAAAGTCTGAATGATCAAAAAGACTTCATAAAGCCACATCATGTGGTTTCATTCATAAATTAGAGACGCTGGTGCTTCATGTTGTTGTTTTATCTGCATTTGCTACCGTAATTAAAATCTGTGAAGCCAGAATAGCCCACAGCACAAGGGTTGCACACATGAAGGAAAGAAATATTATCCTTAAAGGGCTTCAGAGAATTATTTCAAGCACAGCTGAAATACGGGAATTACAAAAGACTTGTTGGGGGTCTACTGATGGCTTAGGAAAGTCATATACCATCTGTGAAAGAGATTCATATCTCCACTGCAGAAGTTTTCCATGCCACAGCAAATTCTTCGTGTTACTCCGTGGGGAATAATGGGTCCTTAAGGAGAAGTCTGGAAAAGCTCTGGCAACGTGTTTTTGCTGCAAGTGCCCATTTCTTTCTCCTATTTAAAAAAGGACTCAAGTGTCCCTAGGGACGCCCATGGACTACGATACAGAAGCCTAAATGCTGGTAAGGAGAAGTGCCATGTGTGCCAATCCAAGTAGGATGTGCCTAAACACAGGTAGGTATAAAAGGATCACATCTGTAAAGATCCAGTTCTCACCATACCAAGTAATAGATGAAATTGTTATACAGTAGCTGAAATGAATGTAGGATGAATGAAAGAGGATTTCAGTGACTATATGAAGCCGTTATGAGCTGCGACTGAGATCTCACCCAAAAGAAAGAAAAATCAGATCTGCTAGGCTCCTCCTTATGGACCTCCAGGATGCATGCCAGAGGTCTGCAAGGAAAGCAATAAATTACAAAGCTGACCAACAGTGGCCTTGTCCAGAGGTGATGAAATGTGAATTCTTTACTTTCTTAATCTTAATTCAGCATCTGGTCAGGGCTGCCCATCACATCCTTCTCCTGCACCATATGGGAACAGTACAAGTGCAGAAATCTGAAAGGTTCTGAGATATGCAAAATCAATCACACTTTTGCAGATTGCTTTGCAGCAGAGTCACACATTGCGTGCAGTGATCTCAGCACTTCTCAGTGGCATGAGGAGCATTCCTCTATGCAGAACACACCATGGATGGAGAATGATGAGGTGTAAAAGAAAGAAGCAACCAAGAATACTCCAGCCATCACCAGTTTGGCCCTCATACCACTCCATCAGTGCTTCTGAGTTCTCCCCAGGGAAGGGAACTCCGTGGCTGATTTTGGCACAGCTTTTGGTAGATGAGTATTATTGGCTTAGATATGAACAGGTGGTTATATAATTGATGCACCGTTTATCACCTGTAGGCTGTCAATATAACGTGTGGAATTCAAAGCATTTTATCATCTCCCTCCAAAATTACCCCAATGTCATCTTCCTAATTTATATTAAAGAACATGGTGAACCTCTCTCATGTCAACTGAGACTCACACAAGCAAGACATAAAGACAGACAGAGAAGTAACCCTTCAATGACCTAGGTCTTGTCAGCTAAGTTTAGAAATCTAGAAGACATGTACTCATGTATGAGCTCATTGTCAAGTCTCTTTTTATACAATCAAGGAAGTAGACACAGGAACAAAGCAATTTGTCTGACCTATTTTAGCTGTCTACTTTAAACATTCAACTCCTATCCCTGGAGTATAGAGGAATTCTTAACAGCTAGCTCATATGTTGACATCTACACTGTCAACATCTATATTTGGACAGAATAATTCCACCTCTAGTCTCTTCTGGATCAGCAATATCAAACCCAAATAGCAATGTTTAAGTTACCACAAAAGATTAAGAACAAATTAGTTCAGGGTGTCAATAAACTGATGCTGATATATTTAAGGTAACAGAGAAACCAACAGAAAACTTAATACCAAATAAGTCTCCTAAGGAGCAAGAGCACTAAAATCTCCCATACAAAGTAGACAGCAAAGAACAATCTTATAAAGGCAGACAACAAGAACAATATAATGTCTTTTCTACTATTTCTGATAAATCACTTATTATTTTTAGCATTTTAAATATTTTGGGGATGTCTTGTTTAATTTATACTGAACTTTGTAAACACACTGAGGTTACTGAATCTGCACAGATTCACAGAACCTGAGAATATAGCTCTGTCTTTCCCCTGAACACCAAGAAGACATTTATTCACCTTTCTCCCTCTGTGTGCCAAATGAAAAAGTCCCTGGAGTCCTTGTTTCCACTCAACATGCCTGTTGTCAGTGACAAAACAGGCTTTGTATGGTAATGACATCAGGGGGCTTAATCAAAAATACGGATTTTCAGAAAGCATTT